TCCTCCATGCAACATGACCTTGCATGTATGGCATGTGCAAGGTCATGTTGTGCGGAGGACGCCACTTTGTTCTACAAAATGGTGTTCCTCATGGCGGCCAGAAGGAATCATCCTGCAGGCTGCCTGTTGAACAATGCACGGCTGAGTGGGCATGCATAGATGGCATGCCGCTGATTGCACATTATTGTTATTGTATACTTAAAATATATACTGTATGCAAAAGTACACATCAAGGCTCTATGAACCTGAACTTCACTGTGAGAAAGGGAAGAGCTCATGTGCGGGACCTCTGGGAGCACTGTTCCTATAGAAGCCAGGAGCAGTGATAATACCTCCAAGGGTGGGAAACAGTGTGCTTACCTATGGGATATGCAACACTTGATGGGACAGCATTTGCTTCTCTCAGTGCTACAATACATCAATTAGCTGGTGCTCAGGAGGAGCAGAGCTATAACCATTCCCCACCAGGCTTAGGCATACCTCTGTGGAGTGCCGCCAGTAGTGCTGGCTAGTCTCCCTTCCCCCTTGCACTCCCTAGCCAAATTATGGCTACCCTCTATACAAGAACACAGATGGAATGGGGCTCACTGTGACTCTTTCCCCTCTAGTAACAGCCATTATACATCCATAATTTGGTCACCAAGATTTCATCATGCTGGAGTACATTCCATAAAGCTGTTAAAGGTTTTACAGATAGCAATAGAAAATTATTGCTGAAATATGTTTGACAGATTAATATATTTTACACAATTGCCTATAAAACATATAGAATGGTATCAATAGATGAATAGCAATGAACTTCATTATGTTTAGTACTTTATATTGATGTTTCCTGGATATTTTAATCTGTGACCCATCATTGCATTGTGAACATATAAGCCAAAACTTTCAAACTATTTTCCTATAGTCATCTCATCGGTGTGGTAGGGATAAAATAATAACTCCTTGCAGGTCATTTTATAAAGGTTTACATTTGCACTGTTTTGGGGGACCCTCCAACATTCTCAAATAACAAAAGTTAGGCAAAATGCAACTACCAATTGTATTTTGATGGAAGAATAATTATTTTACAATACTCAAAAAGATGATTTGCTGTTGTAGGTCTATGCATGCTTTTTATAACAATACAAAAAACTCTGATTGGAAACAGTCAGCAGACTAGCAATAGAGTCATGAGTAATAAATAAATAAAACCATGCTTCAATTAATATAACTCAGTCAATTGTTAGATTTTTATTATTTTATTTATTTGTATTACCATAGTACATAGGAGCCCTAGTCATGGACTAGGAACCCGTTGTGGTAGATGCTGTACAAATGTAGAAAAAGACGGTCCAGTTTAGGGCCTGATACTGATCTCTCATCAGTTTTACACTAGTATAACAATTGATTTCAATGGAGTTACTTCTGATTTACAAAGATTTTAGGCCCCTATCTTGTAAATGTTTACTCATAAGAGTAACTTTAAATTTGTGAATAGACTCATTCAGGTCAATAGGATTCCCTGCATGCATAACCCAAAGTTACTCGTGTGGTTTTAGGGTGTGAGCTTTACTGGATATAACCAGCACCTTTACTTTTGCTGGGCCATGATCTTGCAAATACTTGTGCACATATGTAACTGTGCTAGTAGTTCCATTAACTCACATTCATTAAGTGTTCCATGTGCATAAGTGTTTGCACAGGATTGGTCTCTTAGTTCTTATTCTTCTGAGTAAGGGCTGTAAAACCAAGTCCATATGTGATAAAGTAGTTGGACTTTACCATTTACCTTGACCTTTTAGGTCACCAACTAGTTATTTATCATGAAATCTAATAAATTCTGTTATAAGTTGAGTTTAAGAAAAAGTAGTTAGAGAAATCAGCAGGTACACCTCTACCCCAATATAACACTGTCCTTGGGAGCCAAAAAATCTTACCGCGTTATAGGTGAAACCACGTTATATTGAACTTGCTTTGATCCGCCGGAGTGCGCAGCCCCGCCCCCCCGGAGCACTGCTTTACCGCGTTATATCCGAATTCGTGTTATATTGGGTCGCGTTATATCTGGGTAGAGGTGTAGCTGAAGCCTAACTATTTAGATTGTTTAAATACGATTTTATGAGGCCTAATATTTATTAATATAATATTTTCATTTAAAAACCCATGATATAACAAAAAAGCAACCGCCATCATATACACACTACTAAAACATTGTATTTATTTGGATTTAAACTTTTCCATGCAATGGTTGCAATCCAAACACAGAAACAGTGCTCTAGTGAAAGAGCACCAGAAAGTAAAACTGACTAGTCTATTTTCATTGTTCAAGCCAAATGTTCAAAAAAGTGAACAAATGGTGAAAAGTAAATTAGATTTTTTTTTAATTTGGTCAATTTCAATATGGAATATGTTGATAGTAACACAAATAAGGACTTTTAAAATAAACATATATCATGATTCTAGTGTTTCCAATAGCTAAAGTTGAAACAAGCTTTTAATTTTATGTCTGCTTAAGACACCTCATTTGTAATTGTGCCAAACCAAGAACAAGCCACCTTGAATTTCACAGACATGACCTTATGTCAGGGTGGGTAGGATAGAATATTTCTGGAAAGTCTAATGGAAATTGGCAAGATTTTTCTTTTCTTAACATCTTAGATACTTTAGGTTTGATTTAGTAGGTTTGTCTTGGTAAGTATTGGTGTTTTTATTTGGGGAGAAATATTTCTATAGTTGTTAAAAGTTTTATGTCTAAGCACAGCTGGAGCACTGTGGTGTTCTGCCAGTATCTGTATGGTAGGTTAGTATCAGTAAGATTGCAGCTTGAAATCACTATAAGAATGAGAGTATTTATCAGGGTACTAGTATTGAACTCATTAATGTAGAGGCTGAACACTTAATTAGGTATGTTCTTAATTTTGAGAGTCCGAGATAAAATTAACCTGAGCTTTGTTTATGGTTTTTATGTCACTAAGGCTTGTCCACACACAGAAGTTGCACTGGTTTGACTAAAGAGGTGATGTTGCACTGATTTAGTTAAACTGGTGCAGCTCTGGTTATGATCTCTCTTACATTAATTTAGGCTTTGTCTACACTAACACTTTTGTCAGCAAAACTTTTGTCGGTCAGGGGTGTGGAAAAAAACACCCCCGACTGACACAAGTTTCACTGACAAAAGCGCTGGTGTGGACAGTCTCCCGCCAACGTAGCTACTACTGCTCATTGGGGGTGGTTTAATTATGCCGGTGGGAGAGCTCTCTCCTGCTAGTATAGAGCAGCTATACAGGAAACCTTACAGCAGCGGTACAGTAGTGTAGACATAACCTTAGACTTGTCACTGTTATTTAACAAGCTGAGGGCTTGTCTACAATTCAAATGCTACAGAGTGCAGCTGCACCTCTATAGCGCTTCAGTGGAGACACTAACTACACTGAGGGGAGAAGTTCTCCCATCATCCTGGGTAATCCATCTCCCCAAGAGATAGAAGCTAGGTTGATCAAAGAATTCTTCCATCGACCTACTCCTCTCTCTATACGGAGATTTAGGTTGGCTTAACTATGTCACTCCGGGGTGTGGATTTTCTTGTGGAGACCATCCCTAAGTTTCTATACACACAGTCACACAAATCACTGCATCATTTCACCTTTAGTTAAACCAGAGCAACCCTGTGCATAGGATAAGTTTCTGGCTGTTGTCAAGGTGATGATACACAGGCAGAGCAGAAGGTTGGTTGGGTCATGGTTACTGTGCGTTTCCATACACTCCAATTTTTATTTATTTTTTTTAATACATTGGAACTTTAGCCTCAACCTTCAAAGTTAGGTTGTGTGTGTTTGGAGAAGACCACCTTATTTTCAAATCCTCCGTCACCCCAGTGACAGCAACTTTTTAAACCTTAACTCCCGATTAACAATAGTGTGTGTGTGTTAACAAGATATGTAAGAAACCAGTTTCTAGCCTGTTTAAATTGAACACCTGTTCATGCTCTCTGTATGTGTGTATATATCTCCTCAATATGTTTCACTCTATATGCATCCGAAGAAGTGGGCTGTAGCCCACGAAAGCTTATGCTCTAATTAATTTGTTAGTCTCTAAGGTGCCACAAGTACTCCTGTTCTTTTTGCGGATACAGACTAACACGGCTGCTACTCTGAAAGATAAAAAATGACCTTGTGGCCTTCATTGGCTGGCAGGTAGTTAAATATCTTGGAGCAAGAATGCAGGAAAGCAGAGAGAAGAAGAAAGCGAGTGAAGCAAAGGCAGAAGAATCCAAGTGAGTGTAGGGGAAAGGTAAGGAGAGAGGGAAGGGGAAAGAGGACAGGATGAAAGCCCGTGTCTGCGTGAGAGAAAAACTTGCCTCCTTCCCAGCCCGTGTTGCTTTGGGACGATCTAATACTCCCCACCCCTTGCCCCCAGTTCCAGGCCGGGCAAGAGCAGCCCCGCGGCCGCGGTGAGGGAGGCACCAGCAGCACCTGCCTTGCCCCGCAGCCCCACGCTTGCTTGACAGCCGGGGAGCCCGTGGCCCTGGCACCCAGAGGCAGCGGGACGCGGGGTAGAGCCCGCCCCGGCCGCCCCACGCCCGGGAGTTCGCGCTGCCCTCTCTCTCCATCACTTACTTTGTTGTTCTCTCGCCCACCGCGGCGGCCGCGCGGCGCATGCGCCAGGCGAGGAGCTTTCAGTCCCTTTTCCTTCTCCCCCCCCCCCCTCCTTGCTCCATCCGGGCACCTCCGAATTAGCATTGACAGCCGTGGCACAACTTTTCCCGAGGCAAAGTGAAATCAAGGCGCGCACTCTGAGAAAATATAGTCCCTGCCGTTTTAAGTCCCCCTCGTCCCCACCGGAGGGGCGGGCGGGCTGCGGGAGGCGGTTACTCGGCTCCTGGGCGGAGCGGGGGCCGCCTGGGGCCCCGGGCGCGGCGCTGGCGGGGGGGCTGGGGCGGAGTCCCCCCCCTAGTTTGGCGGAAAGTGAGTGATGAGTCTGTGTCCCTAGCAAAGAGGCAAAGAACTTGCTGTGCAGCCTGAGTAGTTGTTTCTTTCGATTGTTGTTGTGGCTTTTTTTTTAAATTGCTCTGCTCGGGGTGGGCTTGTCTGAGGGGGGGTTGGTTTGTGGCTGCGGAGAAGAAACCAAACCCCCCCTCCCCGAGAGCCAACGGAACAAAAACAAAAGAAACTTCGCCGGGCTCCGAAAGTGGCAGCAAAGTGCCGGGCAAGTTGCAGGGATGGAGCTACAGAGCTTGCAAGAGGCGTTAAAAGTGGAAATCCAGTGTCACCAGGTAACGCCGCGAGCCCGCGCGGCTGGCCCCGGGGTGCGCGAGCGGGCGGCTGGGGGGGCGGGGGACCCGCAGGGAGCCAGCCTTGCATGCTGAGCGAGGAGCGTTTGCTTCTTGTCGCAGGGTCTATCGATCAGGGGAGGGGGGCTGGGAGTGGGAGTGAAGAGGGGGGAGGCTGGAGCTGAGCCTGGGGGAGCCGGCGAGAGCCCCCCCCCCGATCCCCCTTGGAATATCGAACACTTTGCAAAAGTAGTTTGGGAGACTGTTCGGCTGAGTTGTGTGTGTGTGTTGTGGAGAATCGGAGTTAACATTGCGGTTGGTGCTTGTGTGTGTTGGAGAGATTAGGACGAGACTTGAATATTTATGAGCTTTGCTTGAAACTGACTCGCAGTGTTTACTTGCCTCTTTGTTCCTTACCCCCCTCCCTCCCCCTTCCCCACACACACACATTTTTTTTTTAAATCCATTAAACTTGAAACAGTTTCTAATTCCTCCTTTTTTTGGGGTGATTTTTTTATAGAAACTAGTTGCACAGATGAAGCAAGATCCACAGGTAAATGCAGATCCTTTTTTTCCTCTTCTTCAATATTTTATCCCTGCTGTAATAAGCGCAGTTGTGCCGGGACAGCAGGATGAGAAACTTTATCAGTAAGAGATCTCATTTTGTAGTCTTCACTGAGCTTTTTGACTAAAGAGGGTGTTTATGTGTGTGTGCATGCTTTTGTACGGCGTTGGTGAAACGGTTTTGCCTTTAAACAATGTCTAATCTCAAGTTTATTCATGACGGGTTAGTTTACACTTTGCCTTTAATATGCATTTTATTGCCATTTTTGCAGAACGGTGATCTTAAGAAACAAATCCATGAAAGGCAATCAAGAATAGCAGCTCTTAATGAAAAACAAGTAAGGAATAGATCGATTCAGTTCTGTTTTTTTCCCCAATGCACTTTCTAAACATCCTAAAAGTGGCTGCGTTAGCTGAAAAATACCGAGAGCAGAGACTAAAACATCCATTTTCCTAAGTGTAAAGTGAGAAAATGTATATTTTCAAAACGAGATCCGTTTCTTAGATCCCTTGCCTGGGGTGGGGGTTATAATAATAGTAAAAAGATAAGCAGTAGTTAAAACGTTAAAAAAAAATAATAAAAAAAATGAGGCGTCCATTTTGAGTTGGTCGACATGTTTTAGGAATATGGAAAAATCTCCTGTCTTGGGCTACTTTGTGCACTTCCATGCAATGTGCTGAGCAAGAGTTGGGAACAAGGAGACTGGAGCCCAGGTCGGAGCCATTTCTGGTGTCAATTGCAAAACTGATTTTTATTGATCACTTTTTTTTTTTTGCACTTGTCTTTCTCTTCCTTTGGTCTGATCTGACGTGTTAGCTTTGGATTTGAGTTCACTTAGGCACTTTCACTTTTTTAAAAATAACCTGTTCCAGTTATAGGAAAATCTGAGGAAGGGAAACAAAACAAAATAGAAACCTTCCTCTCTTTTCCCCCCTCAAAAAAACTTTTATTTTTTGTTTTTGTTTCAAGTGACCCCTGTGTATAGTGCAATGTTTGACACCTCCTCAGCCCCTAATCCTCTTTCAGGATGAAAGAAAGTTCTCTATTGTGAGTTTGTTTGGGTTAGATCAGCTGATGGCGAGGAGCTGTGATTGTTTGGTTTCAGCACCACGATCAGATGCCATTGAACGCTCCACAGCCCCATGTTTCCCCTGTGCTTTGCAAACGCGGCACACACACACACACACACCCCGACCCACCCCCTTGACCCCCGCTCCTTCCACTTTCAGTACTTCTAATGCTTAAACCAAGCAGCGGCAGCAGCAGCTTGGAAAGCGAGTCCATGATCTGCCGGATTGAGTCCCCATAGCGAAGAACTTTCACCGTTCCACCCCCCCCCCCCATTACACCCCCCCCACACACACACTCTGCAGGATCATGCAGCTTTCCAAAAGCCCCTTTGGCAGCTAGAGCCTGCTCCATCACCCCTCTCCTTTCCCCTGGCTGAATCGATCGCGATTCCTTCGGAATGCAGCAGCTCTTTCAGCACCAAAACTTGGAACAGCGCCTTTTTTTTTTCTATCACAAAACAAAAAAATCTTCCACCCTAGGAAAGAAACCTCGGGATTTGTAATATTCCTGGGGGGAAGAGAGGGAATTATTTGTGTGTGTGTGTGCGTGGAGTTGTGGTTAAAGTTGAAAAGTGATCCGTGCATATTTAATACGTGCTCATAGAATGCATGCATAGATGGTGGTGATTATATGCTACCCTTTTCCGCCCAGTTTATTGTAATCAGAATTTGTCAGCACTCTCAATTTGGTAGTGGAAGCTTCCATTTTGTGAAGAAGGGGTGTTGGTTTCTTCCTAACATGGAGAAAAGTCTGCAGAGTTTGAAGGTGGGGGATGGGGCCCCATTCATGCTGAACATTACCATTTTGATTGCTTTGATGCCATTTTTGGAGGGGGAGGGGATAGAATACCCTACTCAGCAGAGCACAAAGATGTTTAATCACTGTATAGAATCAAATCAGATACTTTATTTTTTAAAGCAAATCTGACACTACATGATAGCTAAGGGCTGTTAGTCCTTTTATGCTGTGTAAAACAGCAAGTTGTTGACTCTAATACTACTACACTGAGTAGAGGATTTTTTTTTTAAACAAGGTAACAGCCTTTACTGCAACAATGCATCTTTATGTGTTCTTTCTTCAATATGGAAATAGTTTTGCTGGTTTTAAGTGGTATTTAGAACATACATTTGATCGTTTTTTCTCTATTGTAGCAACTATTTCAAGGCTGTTTAAATTTTTATGATGATAGTAAATGAGAAGCTATTTATTATGTGACATGCTGGAATTTAGATAAGGCAGAGAGAGACATCTGAAAATACAATTTGAACATTCTGATGCAGCTGGGTGTAGAATATTGTTATCAATCTTACACAACATTTTCTTTGAATCCCAAACTAACTAGTAAACAAGGGTTACGTGATAGCTTTTTAACTCCCACTACTCTCCCTATTTTCTAAAAATCCCTGTAAAGTGCAAAGTAATTAAAAATAAAAATCAGAAAACAGTAAATATTGGCCTAGTGATTGAAACTAGTATTTTTCTACAAAAGTGGACAGTATTATATTTCTTCTGCTTATTTTGACGTTCTATGCAACAAGGGCTTATAGATAGGGGCTAGTTGGTGATTTAGCATGCTGTTGCTCCAGACTGCCACCTCTGGAGGCTTGGTTTGAATCTTTCTTAGGTCACAAATGAAATGAGTTTGGAGAGCTCAGCCTTTGACCATGTCACAAAAATATCATGTAACTTTGCAGGTTTTGGTATGATTAGCAATTTCTCCTTAGAAAAAGTCCATCACTGAATTATCAGGTGCTACAGGGTATGATAGAGGTACCTTTAAAATTAGTGTAGTAGGTGTTTGACAAATCATGGATCTGTTATTGATTTCAGCTTCTTGCTTGCATGAGTACAACGCCCCCTCCCTCCTGCTATACATTTAAAGAAACCTTATGTAGCTTGGAGGGACAGAAGTGATTGTTTCAATATATACTTTTGAAAACGGTGGGTTTTTAATTTCTTTTTAAATCAGTTGTAGATTTGTTTAAGCACAGCTGATTTAGAACATGATAATCCTGGTCTTTATTGTGCATGCACTAAATACAAGATATTAAAATTACATTTCAGTTAAAATGCACATGTGGATGATGAAAAAGATAGTAAAATGAATAGATCATTACACTAACTACATCTGTTTACAAATATAACCATGGGGAGTAGTATTTTTCACTGCCCCAGTCATCAGTTTCCCTTCTGAGCCATTGGAATTATTGCACCTTTTACTTTTTAAAAAAATTAAAAATAAGAACACAAAGTATCCAGACAGATTCAAGCATTTGGGCATGGGCTCAAATGTGCTAAACATAGCTTTATGCAAGAAATTAGATTTCAATTTACAACCAAATTAAATTCCTGTACATCCAGTATTTCGCCTACATTGTCAATGTACAGGAATATGGAATTAAATGTACTTTATAATATTTGTTTGAAAATGTTGGGAAAATATTAAAGATGTTCTTTGTGGGTTTTTTTAGTGTCACTTACATCAATACTTAAATTTACCTCTTGCTCTGAAAAGCAAAGTTAGACTTGTCTTATATGAGTCTACCTACACATTTTGTACACTATAGTTTTGATGAATTGTAATACCATTTGAGAGTGGGTTACCTCTTCTTTAACAAGATATGATGTGTGAAGACTCCATTAGTTGGTCCAGTGGTTTTACACCTTGAATCCACATCACATGCAGAGCAGCAGTAATGTTTTTATCTAAATTGTCAAGCAATAAGCATTTATATGTAAATAAAAGAGTAATCATAAGAACCAGGTTTGTTCTTTAAAAGCATGTTTGAGGTACTTTGCTGCGCATATTTTTGTGCATTCTGTTTGGCCAGGAAGTCAGTATGCTGTTTTTTTTTTTAAGTTACTTCTTAATAATAACACTTAACTGATTAAAAAACAAAACAAAAACCCAAATCACAAGTTAAACTGTTTCTGACATAAGCATTGGGTGGTAAACCAGGTCTTGGAAAATTAACAGTAAGGATGTGTAGACTGCTATATTTTCAACTGTGATGAACTCTGAATTCAAACAGCCTGTCCTGGAGCACAGCAATAAAAATATGTCTTCCTGAAAGACATTATGTATATGCCATTCACTTGTGCATTGCCTCATTTCTTTACCATAATTTACTATCTACATCGAAAATCAACATTAGTCTCAAAGAGGCTGTCCCAAGGTGGGGTTATTGGTGGTTTGTCTTTTTGTAGTGCATACCTGAAATTAAATCATTGACTGTATTTTGCCATTGGTGACCCCTGTCAAAATATCTTCATAGGATGTGTTAGACTTTGTAAAATTAGTGTGCACTTCTTAAGCATGGGGAGTTTGTTGGAGACTCTTTCGTTCAAGATGTCTGCTTTACATATGTTGTGTCTATCTTTCAGAGGGGTGTTTTTTGGTTTAGTGAAATCCAAGCTGTGCTATGCCTGAAAATGGCAGCATTGTTTACACATGTTAAAGGGGAAATTATTGACATTTGCTAAAGCTCAGTATTTCATATGGTTGGGTACTTTCAAAATTGTTGAAATAAAATAGAGGTTACAAGTGTCAATGAAAACAAAGATAAGACCTGAATGGGGTTTCCAAATTAAGTAGAACCAAGGTCAAATTCTGCCGGGGGGGGGGGGGGGAGAGAGAAAAAAACAACAACACAACAAACTCTAAATTTATTTTGGTGGCAGTAGTATCCATTTGGATTCATTTGGATCTAAGGGCCATATCCAATGCTCATTGAAGTCAATAGAGATTATTATTTATTTATTTGTATTGAAGTAGCACCTAGGAGCCCTAGTCATGGACCAAGAGCCCACTGTGCTAGGTGCTGTAAAAACAGAACAAAAAGACAGTCTCTGCCCCAGTATTCCCATTGGATCAGGCTCTAAATTGGTGATGAATCTTGAAGTGGAATTTTAAACTTTCCAATTATGCTTTGAGTCTTTAAATGTAGACACAAGAAGTAATTTAAATGTGGGCTTGACTTTGCAGTCCTTCTGTACACAGAGCTTCTATTGACTTCACTGGGACTTCTGAACAAATGGAAAATCAAGTGAAGTTATTGGATCTAAGTGAAGATTAGTTCTGGGCTGGTAATTTAGAAAGCAATAGTTCCTCATGTTTTGCTACAATCAGCTAGTAATTTATTGGTTGCTTTGCTATCTGAGTAAAAAATGACAAATTTACCATCAGCTCCTTGGAGAGGAAATTTGGGAATATAGTTTATATAAAGGCAATCCTAGCATTCTTCTTTATGCTTTCAATAAAGTTAC